GGCACACTGACACTCCACTGACCGGAGTGGCTAGGTTCACGAGATGAGTGCGCACTTTTACACCACCTCGCGAAACTACATCTGAGGTCATCTGCGACTGGCTGCACAGGACAGGATCCTGGCTGTTGGTCTTGTCCAATGCTGTTGGAGCATTAAAAGTAGGCTTCGAAGATCTGTCCAGACTGCTGGGCGTAAAAGTGCAGTTCTGTAAAGCGAATGGCAGTCACTAATGGAGCACCTAACCGCCATCAGCCGACAGTTCTTCATGGCATACCATTTACACTAAGGCCCATTATGTTAGATCACAATCCATAGTACGGGAGCATCGGATCTTCCCTGTCTAGTGTTGTAGTGCGGTCTGCTGACGACAGAACATAAAACGGCAACGACTTTCTCAATCTCCCTCTTCCCTCTTTGTTGGCAACAGTTAACAGCTGACAGTAAAGTAACTAGTGGACGATGGGATGAACTACATAATAAGGAAGATCAAACTAGCATAACTGACCTACCTCTTCGGTATCCATCAAAAGGTTGTCCTGAAACGGTTAGAACAGCTTTTTTAGATAGGAGGTGATTCGAACATTTAACAGGCCCACTAACGCGAATATAAAAATACACTTAACCGAGAAGAAACTTCGCTAAGGCTTTCTTGTGAGGCCACCTAATTGCAAAAGTTGCCCCGCAAAATAAACTCTTATTGGTCAGCAAAAGATGCCTGTAGACCAATGACAATATTAGAACAACGCCTATTGGTTAAAATTATCAATGAATTGTTTGGCTAGGTGGAAATTTGAAAATTTGGAAGTAGTTTTTCATTATTAATCACAGAAAAAGGCGGCCTCTCAAGAAAGCCCTATAGAAACTTCCTTTTTTCGTGAATCCATAGGTCATGCCACTTCTAGGGGGGAATTGAGAGGTCCATCCCCTTTCTCAGAGTACATCTCAAGCAGAAGGCTTGAAGGTAGTGTCTAAAGGAGCGTCTATTATAAGAAAACCTGATCTGAACAGTGTACGATCTATGAATTGAGGCGACAGTTCGAATTCCAGCAAGAATAAAGGTCAATTGATTGCCTGAGCTCTAGGACTTCTACTGGAGTCCACCATCTTTGATAAAAACAGCAATAGACCAAAGTAAGTTATATGGGGTAGGGGCCAATCAAACATCTGTAACTCGGGTCCGGGGGGACTGCGCAGGACTCTGTAGGCCGGCGCCGGA